CATAAGTTTGTCTTGAAATTGGAGCCAGGATTTTTTAAAATCTAATGTAAATACCACCAAATATGCCCCACGTTGGGCGCCAATTATTATATCGTTTCAATCATCACTTGAATGCGGTGATGTAATTAAATAAACTTAATTTTTAATAACTTTCACGTTTTGATTGATTAGGAAACGATTTCGTAGTTTAACTTACATTTTGTTTAATTAATATATTCCCATTATTAAAATTTTTCTTATAAAACTCTGAAACCTCTGTTAATGGTATTTCAGGCTTTTATACGTATGTAAATTTACTGTTAAAAGCCTTAAAGTGCCATAAGTTCATAAATATTAACGAAAAGTAAAAAACTTTAATATGAAATTGCCTATAACAAAAGGTAACGACCATTTTTTTGATAAAACATACCATTAACGAGATATAAAAAACAAAAATTATCTAATAAAAAAACAGTATTTCTAATTAACGCAAATAAGCTCTAATTACTATTTTAATGTATAAATAATTGTTTATGAGATATAAAAAAGTTATATACAGTAAATATCTCAATAAAATCAACTTTAAAGAAAAAAGTTTGTAATATAAAATATAGAAAATTTACTGATCTATAATAAAGGTTATATTAATTTTTGCCGTATTTCGTATATTTTTCAAGATATACTACTAAACACATTTTTTTTTTAAATTTTCTTTCCTGGGTAAAAAATCTTGTAATGATTAACATCGCGTTGGAAAAAATATACAGCAGCAAAAAAATTAAAAAGTATACTAATGCGCTTAATGACTGGATTCGGGAACAACATATCAACTATTGGGGAAGCACCCCAAAACGGGCACATGGAAAAGCCTTCATAGGCAGACCATGTCCCAAAAGAACTGGAGAACTACTCTTAATGAATAGGAACCAGTTGAAAGTGATAACAGGGTTCATGACTGGGCACGCCCCAGTAAAGGGACACTTGAACAAAATTGGCATGTACAATGGGGAACTCATGTGCCGACTATGTCACAAGAAACGGCCAAACACATACTGTGCGAATGCGAAGCTCTAGATCGCAAAAGACATGCTCTTTTTGGACAACCCCAGGTTGATCCAACAACGTATAGAACCCATTCACCCAAGGATCTGTACAAACTTGTACAAGGTACAAAGGTGATAGAGTGGGTCCTATGAACTAACATGGGGTAAAACACAATAAGCCAATAGGCTTCAGTGTTATTCGGAGACACATAGTCAGACGAGCCCAGGGAAAAAAATGCGCTTAATGCGTTATAGTCGGTGATACAGTTCTAGAAAAGATAGAATGAGAATTAAATTGAATTTGTATTTAGCGTCATTTTTTAAAACTTGAAATTCAAACCAAATATTTTAGGACTAGTTTTGGTCTATCTAGCTTTTTCATCTGTTTTATATTGAATTTATGTTATTTTAAACCTATTTAGCATCATTTTTTAATTTATAATCAATTAAAAAAAATAAGTATTTTTTTCTCGATCAATATGTTTCCAAATATTAAAAAAAAATAAAGAGGCATAAAGTAGAAATTTTGTAATTTTTTACTTAGGAAGTGATAGTTGTGGCTTTTATCATTATGGTGGCATATACAATTTGTAAAAAATAATGTACTTGTGTTTCTTTAACTTCTTCTCTATTACGAATATTTTAACGATTTCTAAAAAAGAAAAATCACATTTTTTTGCAGTCTCCAATATGTTGTTAAGTCAAAATCACTAAAAAGGTCACTTATGCTTTTTTTAGCAGGGCAGTATTAGGTATTGTCTTGTTAAAGAGATTATAGTATTAGTAATGATTCTATGCCTACGACTGCAAATATTGCTACAACTCTTATAAAACTGCATCCCAAAAAAGGGTTTCCTACCTGATTCGAAAAAGGTCATAGCACCACTTTTGCAATGCTAAATTTGAATGATAATATTATAAGAGCTATGGATAAAAAGATGGGTGTCATTTTAGTTAGCTTAGACTACTCCAAAGCGTTTGATTTAATTGACTACGAGCGAGGGTCTGTAGACAATAATCTTTCGATGTCTAAAAATACTGTGTCAGGTGTACCTCAAGGGTCTATTTTGAGCCCATTACTATTTCTTATATACACATCAGAGCTAAGGTTTGCTTATTGACAATGAACTTAGATTTAAAAGTCACATTAAAATCGTACCACAGAAATGTTACAGGATGCGGTTACTCTATATTAACAAGCACATTTTGAACTTCAAAACTCGAAAAAAGCTATGTGAATGTCTAATTCTTTCACTACTAAACTATTGTAATATTGTTTATTTCCCCAGTTCCCAAAACCAGCTTCAGCGTGTTCAAAATAACTGATACAGTCTGTTCGCTATACTTAAGCGGGTTTGGGATTAAAATTTTTATGAGTATTTCCAGGTAAGTACCCGAAAGTTTGACCTGTTCTTTGGGGAAATATCAACTGGTTAAATGAAATGAAAAATAATGTACAACTTTTTAATTAAATAATAATGGAGAATCTTTTGTATAATTGAGAGCAGAATTAAATTTCTTCATTAATGGAGTCTAATGTGGCTATTATAAACCTAATAATAATTTTATATTACACTTCACACAGAAAATATGGTCTATGTATAATAAGAGGGTTATTTAGCTCAAATAAAATATTTTATAACATAAAAATTTGTTCCAAGTAGAGAATTTCAAATGAAAAATAAAAAAATTGAACTTGCCAACAAAAATGAAAATCAGTCATTATCATCCAAAATATCATAATCGTCATCATCATCACTGTCACCACCATTAATTGTTATTATAATTGGACTTATTTCGTTTATTTTATTTTCACGAGTCCACCAATCTTCTATATAGTTCCGCCACACTTCTGGAGTTGCAATTGAAAGTGCCTTTCGCCAAGTTTCCCGAACTGCGTCGTCACTATAACCATTAGGCCCAATATGGTTGTCATATTGTTTTGATATTCCCCATATATATTCGATGGGATTAAACTGGCAATGATACGATGACAGACGTAAAACTTGATGACCGTAACTTTCAATATTCTGATCCACAACAAAGGTTTTTGGTTATGCGTGTATATTTGCTAAGCGTAATAATTCTGATTTTAATACATATTGAGGAAATGGTATATGTTCCTTTGTCAACCATTCTTTAATTTTATCAACAGTCCAAGAATTCGTTGGACTTTTGTTTAATACTTCAGAATGGTAAGGTGCATTGTCTAAAATAATTACGCTGGGCTCACTTAAACCTGGTAGAAGTTTTTCATGCAACCATTTTACAAACATTTCTGTGTTCATATTATCGTGATAGTTACTGGATTTTGATTTAGATGAAAATATTAAATCAGCACCTTCTATAAAACCCGATTTCCCTCCTGCATGTAAAATTATGTGTCGCTTCCCTTCTTCATCGGTATGTTTGATGGACTTTACGTTATCATTTTGCCATATTCTCTTGGTTGCACCCCTAGAAAATATCCATGTTTCGTCTAAATATATAAAATTCGCCCCTTCTTCTTTAAATTTAAAATATTTTCTTAGAAAGTTAATTCTCTTGTGCACGACAGAACTTCTTTCACAAAGGGCCTTTCTGTTATCCTCCTTTTGAAATTTGTAACCCAAGTTATGTAACACTTGCCATAGACTTGTTCTGCCAATGTCGTCAAATTTTCTATCTATTAATTCCGAGAGAATTGTATTTAAGGTCACATGTTCCTTGTTGGCCCTCATTCGATAAATGGTATCACGAATTTCAAATTTCTTTACATCTGGAATATGTTTCGTTTTCAATGATGGGCGAGTTTTGCGGTGATCTTCTTTCGGCAGTTTACTATTGTGATTTTGTAATACTCCTCTTAATTTGGTTTCACTAATTCCTAGAGCATCGCATACGCGTTGTTGTACAGACATTACCGATTTTACAATGTCAACACTTGCAAAGAATCAATTCAACTGCATTATTTGTAACAAATTTAGTACCTACCCTAATGTTATTTTAATTTAAATTTGACTATTAGTGCAATTTTACCTAATTTCTTGGGAAGAGGCTTATTGGAACTGGTTGTCAATGACTAATTTGCATAATTTTGTTAATCCGAAACCCGCGTAAGTATAGCCAACAGACTGTACCTTCCAGTTTTTAAACTGGAGTTGTTCACTACCTAGTTTTCGACGAAATTTAAAAAGTTATCTTTTAAGTCAACAATAACGTTTATATCACTGTTTGTGTGAAAAAAGAAAATTTTGTGTTTCATATATAAATTTAATTTTTTTGTATATTTAGGTTAAGTAATGAAAACCTGATAGGTTAAGAGTTAGAGTAGCTTGAAGCTAATCTTCGCCTATCCGGTGCAAATGTTATACATTTGTTCAATAAAGACATTTTTATTTATTTATTTATTTATTAATTGTATGAATCCGAATTAAAGACTTCTTCTCTGTTTAGGAATACTAGAGATATAAAGTCTATATTTATATATTTATGTATAAATTTTGTATTTTTTATTAAAATTCCTATATTTTTTATACATTTATGATTGCCTAAGGCTCATGTTGAAGCTCTTGTTTCTGGTTCTATAATTTTAGCCGGAGTAATATTAAAATTAGGGGGTATGGTTTATTGCGTTTAATAATATTTCAATTATTTATTAATAATTGAAAATTAATAATTATTGTTATTTCTATATTTGGGGGGGTTTATTATTTCTTTAGTTTGTATACGTCAAAGAGATATAAAATCATTAATTGCTTACTCTTCTGTATCTCATATAGGGTTAGCTTTGGCAGGGTTAATAACTCTTTATAGCTATAAATTCATTTGGCATTAGGCCGAACTCTTGGATATTTTATTTCTAAAAAACAGAATCTGTTTAAGTAGTAACAAATCACACAACTAATGACTAATTATTATGGGAATGCAAGAAGTAAATTCCTAAGAATTGTATATGTATGTAAACAAATATTTAATTATGAATTAAGCAAGCCGATAATAAAACAAAGAAGTGTCTCGATATTATTTAGTTTTCAAATGTTATTGTTAATGTGATACTTAGTTTTCGCTCATTACTTAGACAACGCTTTAATTTGTGAACTGTTAAAAAATGTTACACGCTGAAAATGAGTAAGTAAACTTAATTGACATAGAATGATTTTCATTATGGATCTTTTCAAAAATGTATCATAATGTGCCCTTTTAAACAAATACTAAAACTTAAAAAAATTAAAAGTGTCACTTAAATTATGATGCTGTGCTTAATGTAGGCAGTTTTTCTGCTTTATCTAGTAGGGGTTAATTGTTTTTTAAAATCGTAAAATTATAAGTGTGTCGCATATAAGATAAATACACTCCTGTATTTGGGTTAGATTGCTTTCAAAACTGGACAAAAAGTACCTATAAAGCCTTGACTTAATTATTCGTTTGTTGTCACTTTGATATCTACCACAGGCGTGCAGTTTAAGAAGGAGCAGAAGGGGTCGATTTTTTTTGAAGTAATAATTGTAAAATTTAGATTTTATCATTACATTCAGCACGCTTAAAACCTCCTTCTGCCAAATATGGTTGTTAGATAATTTAGATGATAAAATAAATTTGTAATTTTATCATAAGTATGCTAAATTTATTAATTAGTATCTTTATTAAGTACCTCAAAAGATTTAACATACTAAAATATTAAACATGTGCCAAATCTAAAAATATCAAAAATTAGAAAAGATTACATATTCTTAATTAAAATATAAAATTAATGAAAATGTCACTGAAATATTGATAAACTGAAACTTTGAACTTTTAGTAGTAATAAAATTATCTGCTACATAAATAAATTCTACTTCTTGGGCTCCTTCCAAATATGTAAAGCAATTTTTAAGAGTCCTTTATATAGGATGTTATTTTGAACCTGGAAGAATTGTCAATTTTTTCCTAATCCGGACCTGGATTTTTTCTTGTAAATACGAAATTCCATTCCTTAATATGAGAAAAATCTACTGGGTGGTGCGTAAATATCGCATCAAGAGAGGAATGACCAAAAATTAATAAACCACGAAGGGGTTGAACCCATTAAATATATGAATTTTGAAATTGCCTTCGCAATGAAATACCCTGTACATATTTTTTCAGATATACCTACGAACGAATAACAGAAATAAAAGATTTTATAAAAAGCAAATGTGACATTGATCCAAAAGTTGGAATAATATGTGGAACTGGATTAGGTGAGTCAAAGATAGTTTTCACTAGTAATACCACTAGAGGTCAAAAAATTTCCTGATATTAATTTGACCTCGCGTGGTATTCGGTAAGAAAATTCCACGCCGAATTATGGTTGAAAATTAAATATTTTTAAAATTTATTTTTCGTTTCTCAACAATGCAAATTATTTTCTCCAAGTCACCAGTGAAACATAAAAGGTGTTGTCGCCTTGATTGTTGAGTTGTCATGGTAACTAAGTGAGACCCTAACCTCGAATATAATTTCAGTTTTGAAGTTGTCAAGCGGCCCGACGTAAAAAACTGTTTCGCTGCAATTATTTAGGTCTTCAAATTGCTTATTTCTACTCATTGTAGTTGCATGGGAATTACATTTGAAAATAGAAAATAGTATATTCTTTAATTTTACGTAAGTTTTGAATAACTACAGGTGGTAGAAAATTGTTTTTCTGCGTTTTTATTAACATGCGTTATGAGCGCTTTAAAATGGTATGAAATTCATAGCCAGCGTCAGCAAGCATCAATCGTAGGAGGCTGTGATCATTGTATTTTGACAGTTCAAAACATTAAATAACTCGCGTTTTGTTGCGATAAAGAATATTGCACAGCAAGTAAAACCAACAAAATTACCTATTTGTTTAAAAATGAATCGATTTGAAAATTATACGCTATGCAAAATATGCGTGAAATTGTCTGATGTAATGATCAATCATTGCACCATGACTTACTTACTCGGATTAATAGAGGATTGTGGCTCCAACTTGAAAAACGAAAATTTGTTCCGAATTGTCCACGAATATTTGCACCTAAACTACGCAAAATTCAAAGTGCTGAATGGGAAAAAGGTGAATAAATTAGTGTCTAAATATTATATATATTTTATTAGACATAGACACATAATTCAAAGCATCCAAAGTCCTGCATTTTCGCCATTAAGAAGAAAAGAAGTGGCCGAAGAATATAGAAAACACCTTAGCATTGTAACTAAAATGTATCAAAACTAAACCTATTATGTGAACAAATAAAAACCAGTCTGTCAAAAATGGTCTGTTATTATAAACGTCAAAAAATTTCCAGTATAATTCGCTGTTGGGTACCCCACGAGAAAAAAATTTCCACTAAAATACCTCCGTTGCCATGGTGATCTGACAAAAACACGTATTTTGATTAGTTCAAAATTACAGGTGTGGAATTTTCAAAATAATGCTTACATGATTTTTGCACTGTGACACTTACACAACTAACACTTTGCAACATAAAAATTAATTTGGATAACCACAAGTACCTGGGTGCAGTATATATAGATTTAAATTAAAGAAAACCTTTGAAACAAAGATACTTAGTTTGATAGGTATCTCAAATGAATAATTTGAGGTACAGTACTTGAATAGTTTTGTGATTATTTAGATTATTATATCACTTATAATGTAGTAATTTTCTATATTTTCAGTTGATTAATAATCGATAATCATACATCATGTAAGTAGTTGATGATAATCATATGTTTTAGTACAATAAAAACCCTCATTTCTGCTTCCTATCATAACTTTATCAAATATTTTCTTAATTTTCTCCAATAAACTTCGTTATGGTTTGATTCTTTGCTATATAATACCAACCAATTTATTTAATGCTCTAACTCTCAAAGACAAATAATAAAACATTCGTCACTAATAACGGAGACAAAGAAGAAAATCCGCACTACTGAAGCTCTACCACTATAAGACTATATGGATTACCAAACATTCACAGAGATACTGTATTTTTAAGACCAATATCAAGTGCCAAAAGATCACCAACTTACAACCTAGATAAACATCTGGCGTAAATTCTGTAAACACACGCAGGCAAGACAAAAACCTACGTGCAAGACTCTACTTCATCAAATACGTAAAGAGTATCAACTTAGAGCCTAACTACATCCTAGTCAGCTTTGACATCATCTCTATTCACAAATGTGCTACTCGAAGAAGTAGTCAGCCACATAGGGTAATTTTTTCCAGAGCTCATCAATCTTTTCCAACACTCTATGAACAAATTAACGGAGTCCAGTTGTTATGGCCAATTCTCACATGGACAAATTTGAAGAAAAAGATCGGAAGCATTGGCTAAGGTATTTAGATAACACCTTTGTAATCTGGAGCCACGGGACAAAGGATTTCCAGAATTTCCTAAACCATCTAAATAGTTCTTATCCTAAAGTCCAGTTCACCATGGAAATACCTTTTTTAGTTCTAAAATCAATAATATACATTATTATTAAAAGTTTATATCATAAAAGGGCAGGTATGCTTATAAAACTAGAATTTGGTCCTTATTTTCCATTTTAAATCAGAACAAAATAATTAAAACAATACACGACAAAATAACCCATTCTTTTTTTAAACTAAATAACTTTAATAAGCAATATAAACACACTGCAAGTCGTTGAGAATAAATAATTAAAAATGATGTTCTATTTTCCAATAAAATGTTGCATATGCAACTAACAATACAAGAAAGTAATATTGGTTGCTTAGATGTCGTTAATTTTTTATCAAAACATAGTATTATAAATATTCTAGTCAAAATTAGAAAAAATATTGTATGTAACACGTTACGAAATGTCATTTTATATAAGTCTCGAGTGATAACTTGCATTATCCATTACTATTATACAGTTCTGAGGAAGAAGATCTATAATTAGTTCGAACCACTCTTTAAAGACATCAGCATTCATGTTCTCATGGTAGTCACCGGTACGAGTAGATTCAAAAGTCAATAAACCACCTTTAACAAAACCGTTTGAACTACCGATGTGTACTATTATTAGTCTGCGCCCCTTTCCTGATGGTGGATTTAAACCAGTAAATCCTTATCATCTCGAACCGTGGCAAGAACTTTGTCTACTGTCGGAAATTCTTTTCTAAAGAAGAACGCATTCACTTTCCTTCGAAGTCTTTCTTTCAGAAGATTTTCTAATTAAATTTTGGTTTTCCTGGAGCTTTACGTGCTGTTTGAAACTCGCCACATTTCTCTTCTTTAACAACTCTGTAAATCGTAGATTTCCCAACACCAAGCGTACTACTAACTAATTCCACTGTGTCATCAACACTTTTATATAAATGTTTGTCTGTAAATGATTTAAAACAATTAAATATTAATGTTTTTTCATTAACTGTTAAAGGATCGATTTTTTGTCGTTTACGCGGCTCTTCCAAATTTTCCATGATCACAGTAGAATTCACACTGCACCTTGCAAGTTGCAACTAAACGACATTTAGTAAACTGTCAAGAATACACAACTTGGACCTCCACTAAATGGAAAACCTATAATCGCATTTTCGGTGAAATTTGTTGGGAAGGTATTTATCTACTTATAATTCGATTACTGTAAGAAATTCTTGGAATTAAAATAAAACAAAATTGGCAAATAGGTACTTATTGAAAATAATCTTAAGATACGGCTATGTAATCTTTAATACACAGGGCTTTTGGCCTGTCCAAATCTTTTTCTATTGTTCTGTGCAGCTTATGTTTATAAAGGACCAATAAAAGACCCAAAAGTTGTAATAGCTCAGGTACATTTATTACAATTTTAGGAAATATTTAGATTATTCTGTAAAAATATTTAAAATGACCGTACTCGTACTAAGTTTTGCATTAGAAATGCTGTTTTATTACTCTCTCATACATAAAAATAGATTTTAGGCGATTTCAATGTGCCAGAGTATATTTCTCAAATAAACAATTCTAGCTGCTCGCCTAGATTAAACGTCGTATAATCATTTGCAATTTTTTTTAACCTAAATCCCCGTATATAAGGGGCCTCAGAAAATGTATATGGTATAAATTTTTAGATTTTATTTCCTTCATTATACACATTGTTTTTTATAAAATACATATTAAAATTACGTAACATTATTCAGCTTAGATTTTGATATTGCGATGCGTTTGTCCCTCTGAAAACGTCAGGCAAAACGCTTTATTTTGAAAACAAATATAGTTTTACTTCGCTTATCAACTTTAATGAAGGATCTCGCAATTCGCTGGCGACCAATCAACAATTAATAACACTGATAAAAGTAATGGAAAATTAAATAAATCTTTTGTTAACAACACTTTTAATTTTGTTTCAATTCAATAAAAGAATGTATTGGCTATTATTAGATGGGAAAATAGTACTCACTGAATATATTTCGAAATATTATGGTCTTGGCTTACTTCTTTCTAATCTATTTTTAAGAAAAACATATAAAATTAAAACGGTGTAGTTCTGGGAATACTCTAATACCTCTAACAAAAGAATATAGTACATTTTTTATTAGTTCAAGAACGTAAACTTTATAGAGAAAGTAAAAGTTGAAAAGTCTTTTGGTAGGTAGAGAGGGGGTAAACGTCAAACCACGTCGGGCGGCTCCGAGAATTTCACAGTAATGTTTACCTACCAGTGTCGTTTCATAGAATAAGTAATTTTAAATTGTTATCAGCGAAACCGGACAATCGCATGTATTTATGGATTATAAATAATTATTAAACATGTATTATAATATTCAAATTATAATTTTACAAAATTTCAACAGCTATTCACAATTTAATAAACTATTTACTCGAAATTATTATTAACATCTATAAAATAATTTTGTACGCCAATGTATCGCGTCCACTTCGGTGAAATCCGCTGCCAACCTGTCAATTTATGTGTATAAAGTGGGAGAACTGGCAAAAGCATTTCCAACTTTTACTTCTGTTCTACATGAAGTGCGTTAATATGCATCTATACTGAAATCACAAAAATAAATAATAACCAGAATATCTCTCATTTAATTGCTTTGTAGTTGATGCCGACGAGCTATGACCTCGTCTTTTAGTTATTACTTGTATTCCATAGGCGCACCGAAAAAAAGGTTAGGAAAATAAAAAAGATATTGGGTAGCTATTGATTTATTTTTTAAGTTCACACATTACAAAGGTAAGTAAAAGATTTATATATTAAAAAATTTTTACTTATCTTTCCAAATGACAAC